ACACTTAAGAAAATCTTCAAAAGCTTAAAATATTTAATATATATTTACGGAATCATCAAAGGAAAAGAACAACATTTAAAATTCATTTACTTTACCTCCTCTCCATAAAAGCCTTCTTCCAGTCTTCAAAACTTCAAATTTATGGTCCATAAAAACCTTGCCAGTTTGGCCAGTGCTGCTCAAGTTCGGAAATTTTTCATTTACAAATGCTGCAGAAGCTGCAACTAACGATGCACCCACCAATACTTAAACGGACACCGCGAAAATGTAAATTATATATCCGGATTCAAAGTACAGAGAACAATACTGTGTGCAGCGAGCAGCATGGGTCCAGTGTGTCGGTGGGGGAAGAGTGGGGGGGGGGGGGGGAGTGGGGGGGGGGGGGGGGGGGAAGAGTGGGGGGGGGGGGGGAGTGGAGTGGGGGGGGGGGAAGAGTGGGGGGGGGGGAAGAGTGGGGGGGGGGGAAGAGTGGGGGGGGGAAGAGTGGGGGGGGGGGAGAGTGGGGGGGGGAAGAGTGGGGGGGGGAAAGTGGGGGGGGGAGTGGGGGGGGGGGAAGTGGGGGGGGGAAAGTGGGGGGGGGGGGGAAAGAGTGGGGGGGGGGGAAGAGTGGGGGGGGGGGGAGTTGGGGGGGGGAAGAGTTGGGGGGGGAAGAGTTGGGGGGGGGGGAAGAGTTGGGGGGGGGAAGAGTTGGGGGGGGGAAGAGTTGGGGGGGGGGGGGAGTTGGGTGGGGGGGGAAGAGTTGGGGGGGGGGGGAAGAGTTGGGGGGGGGAAGAGTTGGGGGGGGGAAGAGTTGGGGGGGGGGGAAGAGTTGGGGGGGGGAAGAGTTGGGGGGGGGGAAGAGTTGGGGGGGGGGAAGAGTTGGGGGGGGGAAGAGTTGGGGGGGGGAAGAGTTGGGGGGGGGGAAGAGTTGGGGGGGGGGAAGAGTTGGGGGGGGGGGAAGAGTTGGGGGGAGGGGAAGAGTTGGGGGGAGGGGAAGAGTTGGGGGGAGGGGAAGAGTTGGGGGGAGGGGAAGAGTTGGGGGGAGGGGAAGAGTTGGGGGGAGGGGAAGAGTTGGGGGGAGGGGAAGAGTTGGGGGGGGGGGAAGAGTTGGGGGGAGGGGAAGAGTTGGGGGGAGGGGAAGAGTTGGGGGGGGGGGGGAAGAGTTGGGGGGGGGGGAAGAGTTGGGGGGGGAAGAGTTGGGGGGGGGAAGAGTTGGGGGGGGGGGAAGAGTTGGGGGGGGGGAAGAGTTGGGGGGGGGAAGAGTTGGGGGGGGGGAAGAGTTGGGGGGGGGAAGGGGGGGGGAAGAGTTGGGGGGGGGGGAAGAGTTGGGGGGAAGAGTTGGGGGGGGGAAGAGTTGGGGGGGGGGAAGAGTTGGGGGGGGAAGAGTTGGGGGGGGGGAAGAGGGGGGGGGGGAAGAGGGGGGGGGGGGAGGGGGGGGGGGGGGGGGGGGGGGGGGGAAGTGGGGGGGGAGTGGGGGGGGAAGTGGGGGGGGGGAAGTGGGGGGGGGGGGGAGAGTGGGGGGGGAGAGTGGGGGGGGGGAAGAGGGGGGGGGGAAGAGTGGGGGGGGGAAGAGTTGGGGGGGGGAAGAGTTGGGGGGGAGGGGGGGGGAAGAGTTGGGGGGGGGAAGAGTTGGGGGGGGGGGGGGGGGAGAGTTGGGGGGGGGAAGAGTTGGGGGGGGGAAGAGTTGGGGGGGGGAAGAGTTGGGGGGGGGAAGAGTTGGGGGGGGGGGGGAAGAGTTGGGGGGGGGGAAGAGTTGGGGGGGAGTGGGGGGGGAAGAGTTGGGGGGGGGGAAGAGTTGGGGGGGGAAGAGTTGGGGGGGGGAAGAGTTGGGGGGGGGAAGAGTCGGGGGGGGGGGGGAAGAGTTGGGGGGGGGGAAGAGTTGGGGGGGGGGGGAAGAGTTGGGGGGGGGAAGAGTTGGGGGGGGGGGGGGGGAAGAGTTGGGGGGGGGGGAGTTGGGGGGGGGGGGGGGGGGGGGGAAGAGTTGGGGGGGGGGTTGGGGGGGGAAGAGTTGGGGGGGGGGAAGAGTTGGGGGGGGGAAGAGTTGGGGGGGGAGAGTTGGGGGGGGGGGGAAGAGTTGGGGGGGGAAGAGTTGGGGGGGAAGAGTTGGGGGGGAAGAGTTGGGGGGGAAGAGTTGGGGGGGAAGAGTTGGGGGGGAAGAGTTGGGGGGGAAGAGTTGGGGGGGAAGAGTTGGGGGGAAGAGTTGGGGGGAAGAGTTGGGGGGGAGAGTTGGGGGGGAAGAGTTGGGGGGGGAAGAGTTGGGGGGGAAGAGTTGGGGGGGGAAGAGTTGGGGGGGGAAGAGTTGGGGGGGGAAGAGTTGGGGGGGGAAGAGTTGGGGGGGGAAGAGTTGGGGGGGGGGAAGAGTTGGGGGGGGAAGAGTTGGGGGGGAAGAGTTGGGGGGGGAAGAGTTGGGGGGAGGGGAAGAGCACATTCTTAGGCAGGGAGTGAAAGGTGGGGCATCCAGGGGGCAGGGATGGAGGGACATCCAGAGGGGGGCAGGGATAGGAGGACATCTAGAGGGATGGAAGGCAGCATCCAGAAACACTGAGAAAGGAGAGGGGGAAAAAGGAGAGGGGACAGAAAGGCCAAAGGCAGGAAGTGCCCATCAAGACACAATGAAGGCAGTACCGTCATCCATAGAACATTAACCAAGGGGCATTCACAGCCAAATAAGGAGCATTAAAAAAAAATGGGAGCTTTCAAAGCCGACAAAGGGATGTGTCCACAAAAAAAAAATGGGGGGTGTCCACAGCCAAAAGAATTCACAGGTTAAACAAAAGGGGCATCTTACACCAAAAAGAGGGGCATCCTACAAAAAAAAGCATCTCACAGAGGGGCATCCCCCGCCATAAGGCTAGTGGTGAACAAACAAACGAGAGACCACCGTCAAAACAAAAATAATGCAACATTGAGGAGTCACAAAAAAGGAGCGTCACAAGCAATAAAGGGAAACTAGACAAGGAAAACACGAAAAGCGTGTTGACACCCTTCCTTTGTGCTGATAGAGGGGGGGGGAGAGGGAGGGAGAGAGAGAGGGGGGGGGGGGGGGAAGGATGGAGGGGGGAGGGGGGGAGTGGGGGAGGGAGGGCGGGAGAGAGAGGGGGGGGGCTCCACTTGCGGCTTACTTGTAAAAGGAAAACAGGAAAGGAATAAGAATATGGTTGTTTCTCATCAGGGTTTAGCGCTTTGAGTGGTGGTGGTAGTAGTGGTGGTGGTGGTGGTGGTGGTGGTGGTGGTGGTGGTGGTGGTAATGGTGATGGTGGGGAGGATGATAGCAAGAACTGAGCCGAGGTAATAAATGGTGGGCCATGTCAGTCGTGAGGGGTTAGAGTGATTAAGTGGAATGGTAAGACAACCATACGATGAACTGATCAATTATAGGTATGGGAGAAAAAAAATGCAAGTTTGTGAACAGAGATGAAATGGAATACACGAAGTAAAGGTAAGTGGAGACAGGTACGCAAAATGAAAGGCCATTCGACGTGATGGAGTAGACAGATGATTGGTAGACGAGATGGAGATTGGGCCAGAGTTGGAAAGGTTAAGGAGAGAGATGACGTGAGGAGCACATGTAAGATGGACCATGACAATAATACCTGGACACGAGAGGTTTGACACACACACACACACACGGACAAGCCCAGAATAATTTTGTACACTGTCAGGCTGCCAATCAGGTTTACAAGGATTTGGTATAACACCAATTACTGTTATAGAGAGTGTGTACCATATAAGGAATTTAGGAAGTAGGGCCCCCACAACTATTCTACAGAGAGGAGGTGGAGGCTTCCTATGACTGTGAATGTTAGATGAGGAACAGGAAGCAAGAATTGCATGGAGGGGCCCCAATGCTAAAACTGGAAGGCTCAGGCACCAGTCACGTAAGCCAAGAGTATAGTAGCCCCGTCAGTCCACTAATCCACCAATCAACGATTCAAGCCTCCCTCAATGCCCTTCGTGATTGGGCAAGGAGTTTGCCCCTCTAGATTTCCCAGCCAATCACGTTGCAGGTTTCACCCGGAGGGGGAGGGACATTAGTGTCGTTACTTCCATGGTTTGGTTATTTGTTCTTGCTCAATTCAGATTCAAGGTAAAACACCTGGATATTAGAGGCAATGCAGGAAGCCGTGACCAACTACACTATGTGAATGGAGGGACTCCCACGGACACTATGTATCATGTATCCTCTCAAGTGGATTACAATCTCCTGCATTACCCATCTTTCACTTCTTTTTGCGTAGGACTGACGCGCGCTCACACACTCACAATAATGGTCATCCTAGGATTTGAAATCTTCCACTCGTTTCACTGAATACATTTGCATATGTGCAGTCAATCCCTGTTAAGATATATATATATATACACAGCATATAAGAACCGGTAAAAACTGGAAAACACTTTATTTATATGTTTTACCAAAATAGGACCCACGAATTAAGTCTATGGGGAAAACATCCTCCACAGAAGATTTCAAACCCTAACACATATCGCAGAGATAAGTAATGAGCAGGAACATGCCCGCTGCTTATAGCAAAGGCCCACTCGTTCCCAGGCTTGCTGGCGGACATTATCAAAACAATAATAATAATAATAATAATAATAATAATAATAATAATAATAAAGCTAATACTAATAACTGTGAGAGGCGGAAGGAGCAAGATATCAGGACACGAGGTGTGAAAAACTCTACGCTCTCACCAACCACAGTTTCACTAACAATGCATTTACACTACTCGCCCAGTTACACTTTGTATTTACATATTTACAGTACCTGATAGGCTTTTTTACTTTAATCTGCTAATCTGATCCAAGAGGTCTTGCATGCTTTACTTCTCCTCTAACCCAACTAAATACAACTAAGTTGATTTAATTCCATACACCCATCACACACAACAAAGTCCTTCCACCACAAAATATAAGAACATGTTAGCCAGTCGCCACCCCGCCACACTGACCAATCACAGCCGCAGAGGAATAATATCAGAAATAAACGTAAGCTAATACAAAATCGTTCGAACACATACTTGAAGTTGAGATTTTTGAAGGAGAAGTGAACCTCGACGATGCCAGTGGTCTTGACACGGGTCCGGAGAATGTCTTGTTCGGTGGGCTGGTATTCCTTGGCCCCCAGGCGGTCAAGGTCGTCAAGGAAGCTGCAGGGTCAGACAAGGACTTATTAGAACACCGGTAATAATACGCCCGCCAGATGGTGCTGGTAAGACATGGTGGTGGTGATAATGGTGGTGGTGGTGGTGATAATGGTGGTGGTGATAGTGGTAGTGGTGATAATGGTAGTGGTGATAATGGTGGTGGTGATAATGGTGGTGGTGGTGGTGATAATGGTGGTGGTGGTGGTGATAATGGTGGTGGTGGGTGACACTATAAAGCCTTACATCAATAAACACGACTCAATAATAATATATACTAAACCCAGCGTAATACGAGGAGGAGAAACACGGGCAAAGAGCAGCCATACTGTAACCCGAAGTTAATACGACGACACGCGACTGTGAGGCGCCATATTTAACACCACAACCCTGGTCACCACACCACGTGTACTCCACTACACGTGTACTCCACTACACGTGTACTCCACTACACGTGTACTCCACTACACTCCACTACACGTGTACTACCACTACACGTGTACTCCACTACACGTGTACTCCACTACACGTGTACTCCACTACGCACATTGTACACGTGTAGCCGCTGATGATATTAGACTGATGTGGGACTAACTGGGGATTGGAGGTACTAGGAGGGGAAGCTGTGTGATGGGGGGGGGGAGGGGGAGGTACCTCACACTCTCCTCCACACTAATAGGTCACGAAACTAGATAAACGAACAATTACAAAACTAAAAATATAGATCAGCAGGCGCAATATTTGACGATTCGTGAGAGCAGACAATGTTGGGAAGGGAAAGCGATACCCAAGTAAAGAACAAAAAGGAAGACAACGGATGAGGGAAATTAATTTTAAATTTGTGGGACCTGACAGCTAGGTGGACAGCGCTTCGAATTCGTAGTCCTGAGGTTCCAGGTTCGATCCCCAGTGGAGGCGGAGACAAATGAGCAAAATGTTTCTTTTACCCTTGATGTCCCTGTTACCTAGCAGTAAATAGGTACCTGGGAATTAGACAGCTGCTACGGGATGCTTCTTGGGGGTGGAGGCCTGGTGGAGGACTGGGCCGGGGGGACACTAAGCCCCCGAAATCATCTCAAGATAACCTCAAGATGGTCACATGAAAGAGAAGTAACCAGGTCATCAGCCCCCCGTCAACACCAGCAATTATTTATCAAAACTGTCACTAACTGCCAAGGACTGTCACCAACATTTTAATTACCTGCCAAGTCATATCACCTGAGGACACCCCCCCCCCTCCCTTTGCTCTTCTCCCTCTGTCTGTCTCTCTCAGACAGACAGACGGACGGACGCAGATACCTGGTTCATTAACTACTAATGTGCAGCAATTTGATCTTGGGATAGCCAAATGGCGGAGTATATTTGCGGTCGAGAGCACACAAGCGAGGATCATAACTCGACTGCTCGACACACCCTGGGACAGCCATATGGGTGGGCAAGGGGGGGGGGGGGAACCTGGGGCCAGATTCACGAAGTCTGAAGCATGTGGTCTGGTCAACATCAACACCAAGCCCGGCCCGAGGCCAGGCTTGACTTGTGAGAGTTTGGTCCACCAGGCTGTTGCTTGGAGCGGCCCGCAGGCCCACATACCCACCACAGCCCGGTTGGTCCGGCACTCCTTGAAGGAATAAATCTAGTTTCCGCTTGACCATCAATAATTAACACTAATCTTAATTTATCCGTGTCTATTGATCTGTGTATTTCACTATCTATCAAATATATCTACAACTATAAAATGTCTGTCTGTCCAAAGTAGGCGACCAGACACTCGAGGCTAGCCTCACTAAACTGTCCAGGTTGACACTGGATATGGTAGTGCCATACCTGGATAAATTGTTGACCTGGAGAGCGTGCAAAGATCTTTATACTAATAGAATCCACTCAATAAGGCATTTAAATTATTGGGACCGATTCAAATTTGTAATAAATATGTATTCTCTAGACCCCAGACGGGAGACACACAATAATTTACATGTGACCAGGATCACATAATAATTTACATGTGACCAGGATCACATAATTTACATGTGACCAGGATCACATAATTTACATGTGACCAGGATCACATAATAATTTACATGTGACCAGGATCACATAATAATTTACATGTGACCAGGATCACATAATAATCACATGTGACCAGGAGGCATGACAGGATGAGCAGAATACCCCCCCCCTCCTCTGTAAAGCAAAGACCCTCATATATTTTCCGTGTGTAATTATTATGTCTCTCTACCGCCTGGGCTCTAGAGGATACAATAGAGTGCAGGAGGGTGAGACACAACAAGGGCGCGTTGCCTCTCTCAAACTCCGAAACCATTACATCAACACACCTTTAAGACAAGCAGCGTTACAGTGGTGAGGGGAGTGAGCCACCTCGACACTATTCCACTAGTTTCCCCGTCATTTCCCCGGTATATCCAGGGAGGCCAGGAGCTACAACCTTGCCCCCACTGGGGGTCATGTAGGGATATTACCCTACACAAGCTCCCCCTCTACATTTAACTAGTAATATTATTTATATACAGACGAGGAGTCACAACGTGGCTGAAATATGTTGACCAGACCACACACTAGAAAGTGAAGGGACGACGACGTTTCGGTCCGTCGTCTGGACCATTCTCAAGTCGATTGTGGAGACGACGGAAACATCGTCGTCCATTCACTTTCTAGTGTGTGATTTGGTCAACATATAATATATATATATATATATATATATATATATATATATATATATATATATATATATATATATATATATATATATATAAATTCCATCTCGTGTGATGATATATGTTTTATTGTTGATTTTTTCCGTGTAAATTGGTATGTTTCACAGGCGTGTGTGATCTAGTTATGCCTCCCGGGCCCCCATACCAGGTTCGTCTCAACACAAACATTATTTTGTTTGTATAACACCACAATCCTTTCCCCCTATGTACATATATGTTCAAACGTGGACCCAGAGAGAGAGGGAGAGAGACTATGTAGGGGGTGTCTGGGCTGGGACGCACGGAAAGGTATTGACAGGGTGGGTGTGAGAGGTTGATAATTTTCTTGTGGTGCTATTTTCAAGTTGAGAGTTGCTTCCTCTCGCCCTACAAGTCTTCGCTATTGATTACCCCCGATCACCTAGACTGTGTGTGTTAGCAGGCCGCAGCCCCCCCCCCCCGCCACACTAGTTCCCAATCCGGTGGATTCAGCAGCGCCTGTAAGAATTCTCAAGCTCCCTCTAGAATGCTGATAAAAGTTGTTGCTACCCACCTTGGTAGCCGCCGCACGCAGTCACACACACACACACAACTCTCAGCCGGATTAATCACGTGCACCTCCAGGTGTTGATCACGTTCCGATCTTGTACACAGAGGACTGACAATAACAGACCCTGAATACTGTATACCGAAGTACAAAGCCACACCCGCTGGTTCGAAAGTGTACACTATACACCCAAGAGCAAGGTCCACACATTTTGTGTGTGTGTGTGTGTGTGTGGGGGGGGGGGGGGGGACCATGAAATGTACATTCGATACAGCTCAATTATTTATTGCAAGAGCTGGAGCAGCTTTAGCGTGGCGTCCGTTTTCGTGTTGCGCGACGTCTGGTTATGTGGTTACATTCCCTCCCCCTTCGTTCTCTAATCCCTCCATCCCTTTCTATCCCTCCCTTCCCACCCTCCCTCCTACCCACCCTCTTCACTGTCTCCCATCCCATTTTCTCTAACTTTTATTTCTCTTGCCTCCCGCCCCCATACCCTTTTCATTCCTGAGCAGATGGAACCGAATTTTCCACAAGAAAACTGGGTTCCATCTGGTCAGGAAAGTGAGGAAACATTCCCAGTTGGTAGGCAATATACCCCTGGACATTCCCACGACACCCTGGGAGTATATTCTTCCACCCCTGGCCAACATACTCCCAAACATTCCCGGAGCCTCCCAGACAATCCCAGGGCCTCCCAGACCATCCCAGCGCCTCCCAGACCACCCCAGGGCCTCCCAGACCATCCCAGGGCCTCCCAGACCATCCCAGGGCCTCCCAGACCATCCCAGAGCCTCCCACACCATCCCAGAGCCTCCCACACCATCCCAGAGCCTCCCACACCATCCCAGAGCCTCCCACACCATCCCAGAGCCTCCCAGACAATCCCAGAACCTCCCAGACAATCCCAGAACCTCCCAGACAATCCCAGACAATCCCAGAACCTCCCAGACAATCCCAGAACCTCCCAGACAATCCCAGAACCTCCCAGACATTCCTCAAAACCTGACAATTTTGTCAACTTCCCTGAGACGGTCCATCAATATATTACCTGCCGCGCCCTTCTCGCTTCCTTCTCTACCTCTCCCATTCCCTCCCTCCCCCTCTCATCATACCATTCTACCACTTCATCTTCCCCAATTCCCTTACATCTCCCTCCACAAGTGAACAACTCCCTCATCTTGCTCTCCCACAATCTAATTCCCTCCCCTTATCCCACATCATGGAGTCCCCATCTGAAGAAGCATATAAGGAAACTGGAAAAGGTTCAGAGGTTTGCAACGAGACTCGTCCCAGAGTTACGAGGGATGGGGTATGAGGAGCGTATGAAGGAACTGTGCCTTACGACACTAGAAATTCCCCGTTATCCCACACACATTAACGATATTTATCCACACCCCGAACATCTTTTTCTCATCACAACTGCATTCCTCTCGCATAATTAACATTCTCTAGCAAAATGAAGAGTAATGACGGGAGGGGATGATTGAGATATAAATATGGATATGAGGATATAACAAAAAGAAGGCCCTGGTTGAGGACCGGGCCGCAGGGACGCTAAGCCCCGAAACCATCTCAAGATAATCTCAAGTTCTCATGAAGATATCAAAGGATATTTAAGTGAAGTTTTAAATATAGCACAAAATGGTATGCGAGTCAATGGATATAATGAAAGTTGAGATTCAGGAAAGACTGGTAAATACTATTTTAGAAACAGAGTTGTGGTGTCAAAAAAATATTGAAAAAATTCGTGTTAGAATCATCAATCTTACCCTCTCGGTCATATTGTACTCGACATATTGTATCTTACAAATACGTGTCGTCCTGTATTTGCCAAATGACTTTCTGCAGTTTCCTATATTCTTATGTTTCTCAGAGACCAGCCTCACTCCTTGCTCTCCCTACCACTCGTACCACACCAGCACACTGCACCACACTGTACCTCAGTTAACATGCCTCGCTGTTTCCTCCTCTCTAGTGTGGTGAGATCCAGTTCCATCAGAGTTCCTCATAGCTTAACGCCGTTTGCTCACGAAGGAATATTGTGCATTCTTTTGGGCCTTTTCTGGTTTTAATGTGTAATTTGTGAGGTGAATACACACACACACGAGAGAGAGAGAGAGAGAGAGAGAGAGAGAGAGAGAGAGAGAGAGAGAGAGAGAGAGAGAGAGAGAGAGAGGAGAGAGAGAGAGAGAGAGAGAGAGGAGAGAGAGAGAGAGAGAGAGAGAGAGAGAGAGAGAGAGAGAGAGAGAGAGAGAGAGAGAGAGAAACAAGAGTAGAGAGAGAAACAAGAGTAGAGAGAGAGAAACAAGAGTAGAGAGAGAGATAAACAAGAAAACAAGAGGAGAGAGAGAGAGAGAGAGAGAGAGAGAGAGAGAGAGAGAACAAGAGAGGAGAGAGAGAGAAGTGGGGAGTTGTGTGTTTACACGGAGGGGTTCAGTGAAGACAAACTGTGTAAGTCAAAACCTATGAGCGACCACCGTAGACTTCTAGAATGCTGGATCGGTAAATATTTCAAACCATTGCTCTACTATCCGCAGCCTAACGGCTCACAGGCACAATGTCTGCACCCGACGGCTCAGTCCAATCGACCACAGGATGCAGAGCAACGGTCTGTAGGTTTTATAGAAATAATACTGCCACACCGACTATCAGTGTCAGGTTAAACTGGCTGAATTAGTTACACTATAACTAGCTACCAGTATACTACAAAACTAGAGCAGTAGCAGCAATTTTCTGTGATTCCAGGTCTGCTCTTCAAGTACTTGAAAATTTCTATAAGATCGATAGTCAGAACTTTATAGTGGTAATTATACATAAACTGCTCTCTCTCCCTCTCCCTCCCTCTCCCTCCCTCTCCCTCTCTCTCCCTCTCTCTCCCACCCCTGAACTCGCTTCATAGTTCATCATAGAACTATGAAGCTCAGGGCAGTGTGGAGGCAAGAACAGCCTGAACAGTGATATAAAAAGAGGGCTGAATGTGGGGGGTGGAAGTTTCCCGGGGCAGGTGGTGCAGTAAATCACTGACTTAAGAACAAGGTGGCGGGGAGCGCCGCCCCTCTCCCCTCCCCGCCACCCTTCTGGGCCACCGCGCTCTTCCTTAACCTCTCCCTGCAGGTTGAGAGGGGGTGGGGGTAAAACCCCCCCCCCCACATAACCATATTATATATCTATATAACATATATAACACGTATATAATACGTGTTATATTTATGTTCATAACGACTGTTGTTTTGCCTGTCCTCCTCCTGCTCCTGTACCCAGACCGCCGCCATATTGCCCATCCCCTTATTCCTATCCACCTCTGCCATGAACGGCCCGTTCTCCATTCCACCATCCCTAACCATGAGCTTCAACTTCATCTCCTCCACCGCACATGCCCCTCCCTCTCACCCCCCTCATTTATCTCCTTCTCCCCCCCCCCCCACCCCCAGCCAGTCCCCCAGCCAGTCCTGAGGGACCAACAGCAAGCTTCCTGTCTGGTAAGCGGGACGGAAACCTTGCCTGTGACGCACCCGGCACTGTCACCCCCTCACCACCTCACCAACGGCGCCCACGCCACTCTCCCACACCATTACGCCTGCTCCAACGAGCTGAGGGGGGGAGGGATTACTCCATCTACTCCCTAGCCTGGTCCCAGGCCTGGAGTAGAGAGCTGTTCATCAAGAACTCGAGGAACGTTCTCCAGATATATATAAAATTGGAGTTCACCAACTGGGACCTAGAAATTGAATACGTAAAGCATTTGATACCGTTAAGTATCGCCAGAAGAACTTTACAACAGAGATATATACAACGCAAGAGGAAGGGCCACTTACTACTTAGCAGAGTCGTTCAACTGGTACTCGTTTGAGCGGCCGAAGCACTCCTGGACGCCCGTGTCGGCCCACAGCCGCTTCATCGCCGACAGGAGCTCCTCAGAGAAGGGCTCCGTGTCTTCCATCCGAGAGATTACGTCAAAGACCATCTTGGCATCCGGCTGTTATCGGAAGAGAGAAAAAACTATTACACATACAAGAACAGTCAATGAAAACCCGTTTCCTGTTATTTAGTACACGTTGAAGAGAATATATTTCAAGTTATGAGTACACTGTCCTTGGGACGAGGGACTAAAGAAGTCACCATGGTCCAAGGGTCACGAGGAAACCTTTTGTCATGGTGTAACACGGGTTTGTGTTCCTCTCTCTTTACTTCCTTCTTTCTACTCCCTCTACCCGTATTCTTACTTTTACTTATTCTCTACCCAGGGACTCCAAAACTTTTAACAAAGCCAACTCCACGCCACGTGGTCCTAAGACGATTGACCGACTTAGGATTCTACACCCAGTATGACGTGACCTAAGTTTGTTACAATGGTAAGGGGCCCCTATGGTGAAGGAACATGGGCATAAAGGAATCACTCGAACACCTACTGAACCAAAGAAGGCGGATCTTATTTTACATTAAGAGGTAAGGGGCTATCTTGGTTCATTGGAGACCCGAGATCGTCCTGGCTCATGGAAATTAGAAGTCATGTGGCGGGAAATCCCATCAAGGCAGCCACGTCGGGGAAATCAGATCATGTTAAGTAGTGTCGCGTTAACTGAAGGTAATCTGGACTCATTGTCAGCTCGGGTCGATTCAATTTAGGTGGGTGAGCGAGGGGTAACTGGGTTATGTTTACTGGCCTGGGACGGGTTAGGTCTTGATGGTGACAACCTGCGTGCACCGCCACCACTCATCCGCGTGCGCCCGCACACTCATGTCTCGCTGGATCCACACACACACACACACACACACACACACACACACACACACACACACACACACACACACGCCCACGTAGTCATCACGTCCTGCCCAATTCCACTCTTCCTGCTGGGACCTTTTTTTATTATTTCCTATAGAAAGGCAAAAATGTCTTATATATAATGAGAGGAGAATTTAAACCCTTGGACACCTGATGTTGACACTGAAATCTCATCACTGGATGTATTCCACATTTCGTACCATCTTTCGTTCTAGGAAGTTGTAATTGTATTAAACCTATTTGGAACCCGACCTTTGAGTATCTTCCATGTAAGTACCCAGGTATCCTCTCTCTCTCTCTCTCTCTCTCTCTCTCTCTCTCTCTCTCTCTCTCTCTCTCTCTCTCTCTCTCTCTCTCTCTCTCTCTCTCTCGCCTCCTTTGCAGCGAGTACATTCCGAATGCTTTAAAAAACGGTTCCAGTAATTTATATGTTGCATTGTTTATTTGTGCCATCATGCATGTTCCTCGCGTTCCTTCAATTTTAGATGTCAATCTTGCCTAGAATGACCGAAGAGGCGGAGAAGAAATGATCATATTCCGCCACAGGAGTTTCCTGACTGAAGCAATGTTTGCACGGATATGCTCACCAAACGTCAGGTGGGTTATCGTCAGTATCTAACACCCCCACACGCTGCTCAGATGAATGATATGTACCAGATATACACCCCCACACGCTGCTCAGATGAATGATATGTACCAGATATATACATGAAGATGGCGTGTGTACGCCGACCCTACATAAACATGGGGAGTGTAATCTAACCATACAAGTGGAAGGGGGTGTATGCTAACCATGTATAAAGAGAGGGGTGTACCCTAACCATGTATAAAGAGAGGGGTGTACCCCTAACCATGTATAAAGAGAGGGGTGTACCCCTAACCATGTATAAAGAGAGGGGTGTACCCCTAACCATGTATAAAGAGAGAAGTGTACCCCTAACCATGTATAAAGAGAGAAGTGTACCCCTAACCATGTATAAAGAGAGGGGTGTACCCTAACCATGTATAAAGAGAGGGGTGTACCCTAACCATGTATAAAGAGAGGGGTGTACCCCTAACCATGTATAAAGAGAGGGGTGTACCCTAACCATGTATAAAGAGAGGGGTGTACCCCTAACCATGTATAAAGAGAGGGGTGTACCCCTAACCATGTATAAAGAGAGGGGTGTACCCTAACCATGTATAAAGAGAGGGGTGTACCCCTAACCATGTATAAAGAGAGGGGTGTACCCCTAACCATGTATAAAGAGAGAAGTGTACCCCTAACCATGTATAAAGAGAGGGGTGTACCCTAACCATGTATAAAGAGAGGGGTGTACCCTAACCATGTATAAAGAGAGGGGTGTACCCTAACCATGTATAAAGAGAGGGGTGTACCCCTAACCATGTATAAAGAGAGGGGTGTACCCTAACCATGTATAAAGAGAGGGGTGTACCCCTAACCATGTATAAAGAGAGGGGTGTACCCCTAACCATGTATAAAGAGAGGGGTGTACCCTAACCATGTATAAAGAGAGGGGTGTACCCCTAACCATGTATAAAGAGAGGGGTGTACCCCTAACCATGTATAAAGAGAGGGGTGTACCCTAACCATGTATAAAGAGAGGGGTGTACCCCTAACCATGTATAAAGAGAGGGGTGTACCCCTAACCATGTATAAGAGAGGGGTGTACCCCTAACCATGTATAAAGAGAGGGGTGTACCCCTAACCATGTATAAAGAGAGGGGTGTACCCCTAACCATGTATAAAGAGAGGGGTGTACCCCTAACCATGTATAAAGAGAGGGGTGTACCCCTAACCATGTATAAAGAGAGGGGTGTACCCCTAACCATGTATAAAGAGAGGGGTGTACCCCTAACCATGTATAAAGAGAGGGGTGTACCCCTAACCATGTATAAAGAGAGGGGTGTACCCCTAACCATGTATAAAGAGAGGGGTGTACCCCTAACCATGTATAAAGAGAGGGGTGTACCCCTAACCATGTATAAAGAGAGGGGTGTACCCCTAACCATGTATAAAGAGAGGGGTGTACCCCTAACCATGTATAAAGAGAGGGGTGTACCCCTAACCATGTATAAAGAGAGGGGTGTACCCCTAACCATGTATAAAGAGAGGGGTGTACCCCTAACCATGTATAAAGATGGGGGTGTACCCCTAACCATGTATAAAGAGAGGGGTGTACCCCTAACCATGTATAAAGATGGGGGTTTACGATAACAAAGCATGAAGAGGGTGGGGGGGGGGTTGTACCTTTTCACATGTAAATTATGTACAGGTTATGGATAAAGACTGGCCAGCCAACGTTTGGTTAAGTTATCCAGCAGAAGCAGAAATTGAAACAATACAGACTGGCGGCAGGAATATCAACAGTACTGAATGAGAGACTGCAGTTGGAGGCAAGTGCAGAGTTCCCTGTTGTATCGACCACCGCCACCCTCGCCTGCCGCTGCCACCACCACCCTCGCCTGCCGCTGCCACCGCCACCCTCGCCTGCCGCTGCCACCGCCACCCTCGCCTGCCGCTGCCACCGCCGCCACCCTCGCCTGCCGCTGCCACCGCCACCCTCGCCTGCCGCTGCCGCCGCCACCCTCGCCTGCCGCTGCCACCACCACCCTCGCCTGCCGCTGCCACCACCGCCACCCTCGCCTGCCGCTGCCACCACCACCCTCGCCTGCCGCTGCCACCACCGCCACCCTCGCCTGCCGCTGCCGTCGCCACCCTCGCCTGCCGCTGCCGTCGCCACCCTCGCCTGCCGCTGCCACCACCACCCTCGCCTGCCGCTGCCGCCGCCGCCACCCTCGCCTGCCGCTGCCACCACCACCACCCTCGCCTGCCGCTGCCACCACCACCCTCGCCTGCCGCTGCCACCACCACCCTCGCCTGCCGCTGCCACCACCACCCTCGCCTGCCGCTGCCACCACCACCCTCGCCTGCCGCTGCCACCACCGCCACCCACGACGGCCAATATGTCCACACTTGGCCAGCTCTAGAAGGTGAACACACCAAGAGGGTCCCCGCCTCTGGAACATAACACAGCCGGTGTTTCGGACGACCCACCGCGATGGACCGTCTTCCTCCCCACACTCTAGGGATGCATGAGGTGTTCACTCCATCTCCAAGTGCCCTCACACCTCAAGAAACTCATTACCTAAGAAAACACCCTCACTAATGAGGGCTAGAAACAGCAGCTAGCTCAACAGCATCACTACTACTACTAAAAGTTCTCGCAATAGCACTCATTGTACCATTGCAACGAACATCCTTAGATATAATAGCACCAACTGCGCGCGCACTGCAGATAAGCTAGCAGAAACAACATGTACACTGCCAGAAGGAGCAAAAAAAAACACCACCAATATCAGACAATCGACTTCCTGTTGGCAAGAACTACCTGTCGTCATTTACCTAAAAAATTTATTTTGACTTCCACTATCTCGGTCTGTGATACTATCTCTGGTCCCTCCCCTTGCCTCCCCTCCCTTCCCCAACCCCTTGCCTTCAGTACTCAGCCCTCTCACCTCCCTCCCTCCCCAACCCTTCCCTACACACAACCCCGCCATATACATCACAACAACCGCCTCCCCCACCACAACTCCTAACCTCACACAACAATAATCATCACAATACCACAATCGACATTTTCCTCCCTGCCCACCACAATCACCTCCCCCCACCACGACCAATCTTCCCCACCACCACTGATAAGCGGGATCGTGTTCCAGGGGAAATAGAAGTACAAGTACATAGGATGAAATAAGACGTTGGGGGAAAAGGCTTCCGGATTGCTAATATGAGTCAGAGGTCGTCCGCTCCTGTACCAACCAATCAGTGTATACAAACATACACCACAATGTACCCCACCCACGGCACACCCAAAACACATGCACCCTACACCCATGGTTTACCTAGTATACCCCTTACTCCCCCGCCAAAGTCCCCCCACTATTATATCCCCCCTACCTGAGAGTTCACCCAGAAAACCGGCTCTTGCAACAATAATCACCTACATTGCGAACCAATAATCAATAGGCAGCAACATGTTCAAAAACACTCACGCCAGCCATTCCGTACACCTGCCGTGGTCGCCGCTGCTGATTGGCTCATGTTGCCGGTGACGTCATGCCCGCACATGTGCTGCGGCAGTTAGTTAATACACACATGTGACCGGGGGGGGGGGGGGAACAAGGGG